AAGTTAGGACTTAGGTTTACCCCTTTGGTATATGGAAACCCAAAACTCGTACCTATGTACAAGTTATTGACTTATGTACGTATGTACCTAAGTATAGTATATACATGTGCCTACAACACGGACGTTATTGGAAACGTCGGCGTTAAATATAATTATATTTATATTGCAGTACTTAAACATAATTAAAACGTCGTCGTTGGCGCAGGTGTATACATCAAGTGACCACTGACCGGAACCGACGGCAACATATGGGCCTGTATATACTGAGCAAGGTACCTTATGTACCTACAATATTGTTCTACGGGCTAAACGAAAATCATCGTGACTCGGACAATTATTATTATTAATTTATAGTAAATATAATATTGTACACGTGAAGTCATCGAATAACACGGCACGCGCCTCCCTCGTTGGCCAAAGTCACTTTGTCGACAGACAAAAAAAAAAAAGCATATACAAGCACAACATACACTATATTAAAAAAAAAAAGTAATCCAAATGTTTAAAAAAAAAACAATAACAGATACATACAAAAAATGACCCCTTTATCTATAGTGGATAGCCAGCCAAAAAAAAAAATATATTACAATGTACACTTTAGACTACTATATGGACATTGTTCGGTCAATTTATTTTTAATTTTTTTTTATGGCCTTTAAACTTTTGTAGTAAGCCACTTAAGAAAACACCAAATGAAAAAAGTTGTAATTTTGCTTAGAAATAAAAAACAAGCAAATTGTGTGTTTGCAAAGAAAATGGAATAAAAAAAAACTCTATATTTTAAAAATAAATTGTAAAAAAGTTCATTTTTACAACTTTGAATCCGGGTTTAAGAAAACAAGAAAAATTCGGATTAAACTAAAAAAAAAATCATGTATTTTTAGTTTATTTTATTCTTTTATTATTCAGATTATTTTTGTAAGTTTCCATACTTTTGTGCACCGTTTCAACATAATATATTTTGCAATAATTATAACTGTGAAATTAAATTTACCCGATTTCGTTTGTTTTTTTATATTAAAACTTTTTTAATGTTTTGGTTATTTTTAAATTTTCGTAAAACGGTTAGAAAACGTTCGGAAAAAAGTGTTTTTAATTAATTTTTAAAATATTAATTTAAAAAAAACCTCATATGAACAAGTCCATCAGGCAGTTGTTTTTATATTAAATTTTAATTTTAGACGCCATAATACATTATCTTACATGACGGGCTTTCATTAGTGTTTTTAATTTTTTTTTTTTAAATATATTATATTTTTTTAATGACATTTTCGACAAACATCATTCGACTTTCGACATCCCTTTTTTTTAATAAACGCATTTTTCGCAATAAAAATGATTATAAAACAAACAAAAATAATTTAACTATTGCAATTGGTCGCTGTTTTAGAAAATATGTGTACAGAGTTGTGCAAAATCCAGGTTTATACCTTGACAATGTCTTAAATACAATTTAGTCTCTCAAGTAGGTGTACTGTACCAAAGGGGTAGGCGGACTACGGGGGCTAAAACCTCTCCCCGGTATGTGCTTAAGTTGCACACTCGGATTAAAAGTGTATTTTTACGTTTGTTTTTTTGTACCACCGTTCATATATATTATTATATACACACAATACATAATATTGTAATTTGATCATTATATACTTTGTACCTAATTAAATTCACCGACTACCAACTCAATTGTATAATAATAAGTGTATTCAATAGGATTTCAATACAAACGGTATGATAATATTTTCAACCGCGTTACTTATATATATATATATATATATAATTGGTGGAAAAAATAAAAAATAATTGAACAATAATAACAACACACACACACATATTATAATCTCTCACAGTGTGGTTTTTTTTTTTTGTCAAGACGCCTTCGTGTCGAGGAGATAGCGAGACAAGACGGTACAAAGAACAAACAATTTCGTCACTATATATTATAAATATTCTTATTTCTTACACTCCTAAGATTGTGTACAACATAGCTATAGAAATGTGATCTTTTACCCGGTTTTCACATATGTACACTAACATAGCCAACCGCGGAGAGGAATGGCCGGAACAGCGTTTTTTTTTTTTTTTTATCTCGTCCGGAGAGCTTCCCAGATATCATATGCAAACACTAAGGCGACAGAGATAAGCCTATTATATTATATTTAAAAAAAAAAAAATAAGAATAATAATAAAACCACTCTTGTACAAGACCGTCGTCGACGGTAAACCGTTGTTTGCCATGTATAATAATAATATATTAAAAAATACTACACACACACATAAGTATAAAATATATTATGAGTATATTATTAGATATTATGTGAAAGAGACAATAATTTGGACAAAAATTACAACTACATTACACTTAACCCTAAATCCGTAAGTCTAGTGGGGTGGGGGGACGTCGTCTAAATCTTTTTCCTTGTAAGAAAAGTACACTTAATTGTATTATATCCATTTTGAACTCAATACCTACAACGTTGCGCACACTTTACATGTTATTATTATTATTATTACATTATGCTCTGTATATAATATTTTAGGATACATTTTGATCGATGAGGCTCCAAACACATATAGGTACCTACCATAATACTTGGTATTAGGTATACCTATGCATACATGTTAATTAACAGTGTATCGGTGGACTTAAGCAGTATAAACAATAATATAGGAGGTACAACAACAGAACGGTATATTATTATTAATATTATAATGATGGTTTTTTTTTTTTTATATTTAAGTTAAGCACACAAATTTATAACAAGTCGTGTGCTTACCCGACCGAGCAGCTATATAGCCAAGTACAACATATATAATAATAATACCTATAACAACAACATGTACCTACACCGCAGACATTTTTGACCTCAGCAAGTTTTTACTTACAAACGGCCATTTTCATATTATTAAAAATTCAGCTTGCACTACAACGCATAAAACAGTATTTTACTAAAATAAAATATTTTACACCTATCCACCATTTTGTATAGTAAAAATGTACATCTTATATATATATCTACCTAATAATATTATGCACCTACTTGGCTTAAGGTTAAAACGGCTTGTGCCTAAGTTGGATAGATATTAGGATATATTTAACTGATCTACGAACACTTAAGCAACTAAAAGGGAGAAGAAATATTTTGGACAGTAAATTCACATTGATTTAGTTAATAAATTTATCCAACTATATAGCACAAAAACGAACGAATTTCTTAATGAAATATATATATTTTATTTATTACAGAGTAGGTGATAACTTGGCAAATGCCAAAATATGTTAAACTCGAATGTTGATCGTTGACAAATAACGTTTAGATCAATACAAATGTCTATGTTGCCTTTTCCCGTTCAAATGTTTTGCACGTTCACAATATATTTTAACCGCCGCCGTATACTTGCATTAATTCAATAGCTATGATAACGACCTTTGCCGCGTTAACAAGTTTAAGTGGACTTGGAGAGTTCCTTTTTTTTTTTTCTGTAGTAGGTAACTATTATTTTATTCATGAACTTATATACCTAACTCGCTCTATACCTACCTACACTATCTGAATTTATTCAACAACGCAGCTTATCTATAATCGATATTTTGTTCTAGACAAATCTAGTTGAAAAATTATATGTATATATATATATATACATATTGAGTATAGGTAAATTGGTTGGGTAAATTTTTTTTTTATAATTTTGGGTTTACAACAAGTTATACCTAATATATTGTATTGTTCTGTATACCTACTGTTGGCGTCGACTAGTGAACTTGAGTAAATCAAACAAGTTAAACTTCTTATAAGTTATATGTAATATTCTGTTTGCAACATTATCATAATATTATACCTAATCATGTTTTTAAATGGTCATTTTACATATGAATCGCACAGACGGTTGACATACATTTATAACATTTAAAAAAGTAAAATAAATGAATTACAATTGAATATTCAGTCAAGTTTCAAAAACAAAAAAACCCTAAACAACATTTTGATCGGATTCGACTGTTGACAAGCTTTGATTATACAATTATTAAGAGATGCTTTTTTTTTTTTATTAAGATGTTTTTTTTTATATTTTTTATTCTTTACAACCATTTTGTTAGGTTATATTTTTACTTGCGTTGCAAAAAGGTATACACATTTCCAAACGTTAAACCTATCCACCAAACGTTTGACATATAATATAATATGTATTTACCTAATCATAGAAAATAGGTTAGTATATGTGTTTATATGTGGTTGACTCTCTACATGAGCTATAATATAATAACTTGGGTTAGTTCAATTTAATAAAACACAACCCTTACATAAATAAGTAATGAAATTTGTAATAAAAAAAATTTATATATTTTTTAGAGTAAATCCACCAAATCTAAGTATTAAAGTCCAAGTAAGTACAACGCCTATATTACCTATATAAGAAGGAACTGGGAAGGAATTGGGATGGCATATTATAATAATATTTTGTAGCCATTCCAGCTAAGAGAATACATATTATAGTAAAAAAAAAAGAAAAACAATATATTTTTAACGTAAATCATCTTTTTTTGTAATTTTTATTTACACATATAATAGTATATATACATATATATTATATTAAATATATATATATATATATATATATATTTATATATACAAGAGGATAATAATATGTGTTATGTATATATATATTTTACCCGGAGCACACAAAACGTTTGAATTATAATAATAATAATAATAATTTTTTTTTTTTGGTTATATATACTTTTAAATATGTATATATTATTATTATGTTATATAAAAGCCGTTCAACATAATATAATATACTCGAATATAACTACCGTATCGTTTAAGTTTACAAACATAAAAAAAAACACCTACAACACAATAATTAGTACATAATATCATAATATTATATTTAATTTCTATATAATATTATTGTATATATAGGAATCAAATACAATATAATATATCTATATAATATATAAATAATAATATAGGTAGGTATAATAATTATAATTTAGCGTCGCAATCACTACTCTTTTACGCGGTTTATAAAGGTATTATAATAATAAAATATAAATAAGACAGAGATTGCTTCACACTTTTTAAAAAAAAAAAAACTTTTTTTCAAAACTGAATAATAGAGGTATAGATAAATATGCGATATTACAATAATATTAAATTATTATTATAGACATATTAGGTATTATATAATAGGAGATTCGATGCTAAAATCGGTTTTATAAAACAATAACGTGTATAGGTGGTGGTTATATACCTATTACCTATACCTAACCAATATTTTCTTTTTGAAAATAGCTGTTTTATATATAAAAAAAACAAAAAAAATGGAACGGTGATCAAGAAAAATGTAGGTATAATAATTAATTAATAATAATAAAATTGTATCTATCTACTTAAAAAATAATATATGATATTATTTTTACTATATATTATTATAGTTAATAATTATTGTAATAAACCGTCGCCGCCAACGGACCATATTTGAAAACTATTAACATCGACAGCGCTTTATTATTAATTAAATAATAAATTTAAAATAAATTAATAATAATAATAATGTACAGTACAACAATTATTTTGTTTGTTTTATCTATTTTTGAGATAGGATGGTGTATTGGTAATTAATATCTACCTAATATTAGGTATATTAATTATTGATAACATAATTTGTACAATTCTGTGATGAAATGATAAAAAATAGTTGGCAATTTTGGCCAAAATCATCTCTTTTGGCATATTATTGTATGTTATGGAACAATTTTTTTTCAAAGTCATAAAAGTTATAATGGTCTATTTTTTAATTAATATAAAATCATTACCATTTTACCACAGTTGTATTAAACATAATATATATATATATATATATATATATAGTTTTGTCAGTAGGTACTCACTGCGACATCAAATTTGCATTTGGAAATTAAAAAATTTAACTCAAAAAACGACCAAAAAAAATTAAAAAAAACAAATAATTACACTAGTATGGCGTCAAGCCTCCATAGTAGCGGTGGCGGCGGTGTTCGCCGTGGAGTGGACGCCTCAAGCTCTGCCGATCCCCTCAAGCGAGCGGATATTGATGTCACAAGCTGGAGGCGGCCGACGACGGCGTGTGATGGTACAACGAGCCCTGATGGTGGTGATGGTGCTGCTGGTAATAGTCGTTGTAGCCGCCGACGCCGCCGCCGCCGCCGTACTGGGACGCGGCGGCCATCTCGTACATCTTCTCGGCGGCCGTGGCCGCGGCCGAGGACGGTTTGCCGCCGCCGTCGCCGGCCGACGCGGCGGCCGCTGGCGGCGGCAACAGCCTGGTGATGGAGAACGGGTGGCTGGACGCGGCGAACTCAGCGGCGGCTGCGGCCGACGACGATTTCAGGTGGGCCGCGGCCGCGGCCGCGGCGGCCGCTGTGTAGTGGTGCGACGAAGTCGAGTGGCACCGGGCCATCACGCTGAGCTCTTGGTCCTGCTGTTGCTGCAGCTGCTGTTGCTGCAACTGTTGTTGGTGGTGGCCGTGCTGCTGTTGATGGTGATGGGCGGCCACCGCGGCGTATATGTCGGCCGGGCTCTGCTGCTGGTGTTGTTGAGATTGATGCTGTTGCTGGTGATGGCCGTGGTGGTGATGGTGGTGTTGCAGCAGCGTACCTATGATGGACGGGTCGTCGTGATGATGGTGGTGGTGGTCGTGGTGCAGGTGACCGTGCTTGTGGCCGTGCATTACGGCTCCGAAGCCCAGGTCGGCGGCGGTGCTCATCAGGCCGCTCAGCTTGTTGTGGTGATGGTCTATGGCGGGCTTCTTGTCCTCGAGTTGTCCACTGCTGCCGTGGTGCATTGGCGACGAGCTCTTGGAGTGATGCCCGTCCCCGCCGCTGCCGCCACTGTGTTGCCTGATCAGTTCTTTCTTGTCGTCCTTGAACCGCTTCTGCCGGCGCAGGTAACATCCGTTCTCGAACATGTTGCCCGAGTCCGGGTGCAGCGTCCAGAACGACCCCTTACCCGGCTTGTCCGGCGTCCGCGGCACCTTGACGAAACAGTCGTTGAACGACAGCGAATGCCGGATCGAGTTCTGCCACCGCTGTTGGTTCTGCCGGTAGAACGGGAACAGATCCATGATGAACTGATAGATTTCGGACAGTGTGAGCATTTTCACCGGCGAATTCTGTATGGCCATCGTTATCAGCGATATGTACGAGTAAGGCGGTTTGGCGTGAGTATAGTTTCGCCGGTAGGTCTTGTCGGCGCGGACCCGCTGCAGCGCGTTGGCCGGATCGGCCGAGCCCGGGCCCACCACGGGCGACGAGCTGTTCAGGCCGGCGTACGACGACGATCCCGCCGACATGGCCGAGCTCATGCCGCCGCCACCGCCGCCGCCGCCGTACTGTTGCTGCATGGTGGACATGCAATTGCCGGAGGACAGCGCGGCCGCGGTCATCATGTTGCTGCCGGCGAACACGGACTGGTTGTGCTGCTGTTGCTGTTGGTGCGGCGGCGGCGAGCACAACGACGGCGTCGACATGGCCGAGCCCGGCTGTCCGCCCGCGCCGCTGCTGCCACCGCTTCCGGCCGCCGCGGCGGCGGCCGACGAGTTGTACATGGCGGCGGCGGCTGCAGCTGCTGCGGCCGCGGCCGCGGCCGCCGTGTCGGAATACAACAGTTTTTGCGATAGCATTGTCATCGTTCACTGTTCGGAGCACATCGCACGTTCACGCGTAGTTAGGTATAATATAGCACTATGTAAAAAAAAATTAATAATAATTTAAAAAATATATCCGACAGTCGACACGACGGCGGCGGCGGTGGCGGTTAAAAATCGTACGCCGAACACGTTGGCAACAGGTCGGACACGACGACGGTGAGCTCGGGGGCGGCGGTACACATTCACGCACGGCAAAAAAGCGGACAGAGTGTATTATCAAACAAAACGCGATTGAAAAAACAAACACTGTAGTAAATTTTCGGTTTGATGAGCTGGTAGGTATGACAACGTCGTGAGTGTATTTGGTTAGAGGGGAATCTACAAACAACGGCTCTGTACACGACGGCGGCGATAGCGTCGGTGATGACGACGACGGCGGTCTGTTTGGCTGTTCAAACTAAAGTGTGTGCGTTTCGGTGCGGCCCCGGTCGTTGGACAAAGTCACATACACACACACGCGCGCACCCGGCCACTGGTGTGGGAGGGGTAGGGGGCAACGAGAGGGGTCGGCGGTGCCTAGCAAACGTGCGGCGGGCGCGTTCGGGGACGCGGCGGCCGCGCTCGCATTGGTCCGCCGCGGCCGCCGCACGGGCCCGCGCCGGTCGCGCCGCCCCCGTCGTCCGTGGCAACGGCCAACCGCGTCCCGGCCCGTCGTCCCCCACACGCGGTACCGGGCGAACGCGACGCGCGCCTAACCGTCGCCGCGTCCCCCTTCGATTTTTTTTTTGTATCCTCCTTAGTCGTGCCATACGCCAGCAGTGGCACCGGACCCACAGCTGCGGTCGCGGTGCACATTTTTATTATTTTTTTTTTTTTTGAGACCATCGCAATAATAATTATCATCATCATCATTATTATATGGCAGCCGCCGCAGCCGCAGCAGTTTTTTAACTTTTCCCAACAATTATTACATACATTAGTAGGTACGTACATAACATAATATAATATATCTAAATGTGTTAACAATAAACTATATATTTATATTGTATAATAGATAAATAGATAATAAAATATTATGTATTCATCCGGTCTATAGTATGCGTATAGAATTACCTGGACGACGCGCTCGTTCAACGAGCATCATCCGGTGTAGTAACAATAATTAGCCGCATAGAATCGGATAGTAATTATAATTACTAATTACATTTTTTATTTTTTTATTATGTTTATAACAGCTTAATTTGCACAAGTCCAAACAAGTTTTTCAGGTGACGCAAAAAACTAAAATAAAAAAACGGTTTTAAGTATTTATTTTTAATTAATAATTTTTAACATCAGTTTTAAATGGAAACATTATTACTGGCTATTTTTCTGTGTATAAAAAATATTGATTGCTTACAATTTTTTATTTTAGAAGGGAAGTATAATGTAATGTTGTTATATAAATAAAAAAACAGTTTTTCTTATATTATGTACAGCTATATTTTATGCACAAACATATTATTATGTTCGACATAGGACCTATACTTAAAAAATATCATGCGTCGTGGCATGTAGTATTTAATAGCCCAACGTTATTTCCAATTAATTACCCAGTAGAGATAAGATAGAACAACTATTTATTGTTCTTCTTTACTTAATCATTTTTGTCGATGGCTAGAATGGTTAGAATATCCAAAATCAGCCTCAAGTTGTATTGCGCATTAGGCGAATTAGGTATTATACAAATAGCTTATACAAAATATGTGAGTAGTATGGTAACTACTGTGTGTGGTAGGTATAAGAAGATTTAAGGCAACGTGAAAGATATTTTTTTTTTTAATCAATTTACTTAACTATCTATCGACTATTTTTGAGAAGCGCATTTCGAATGTTTATAGTTTGTACAACTTTTTATAGCCGATTTTTTTCTATGTGGTAATTTTTTTTTGTCATTTCTGCATAGAACTACTATTACACACCATCTTATATTATATCTATTATATAAATATTTAGCTATTGAATCTTATTTTGTACTTAACCTTTTTTTATTTTGTATTTGCCCTTAACATAATAAATTATTGTTATAACAACAGCTATTTTCCTCGACAAGATCAGATCACTCCAAAACAATCACTTCAACTTTAATAATTAAAAAATAAAAAACGTTTTCAACCAACAAATAATAGCTGATATAATTAAACGCAATTTTAAAACAATGTTAACAAAATATGTACATGTCTTTTTTGATGTTGTAAAAAAAGAAAAATAGGTAGATAAGTACAATAATTTTGAAATTCGGCTGTAAGTTAATTATTACTTATTTATTATTATTATTTTTTTTTTTTTTACTCGAATAACGTTGTGGTTAACTGTCGATAATTGAACGTAATGTATATTTTGTTATATGCATATAAACATGATTTGTCACTATATTGGTCGACCCCTCGCTCGTTGCATAGGTAATATATTAACTAAACATATGAAAACAGTGTGTACGACACAAAATATTATTATTGTAACGACTTATGACTGTGTATAATAATAATAATTACAATACCTATTTGTTTAGGTGATCCACCGCACTGTTAAAGAGCTGGTGTAGTATCCCTTTGGGAACAGGGATATATAACATTGTATGGGCAATGCACATAATTTTTTTTTTTTTGTAAACTATTGCGGTAATATCACAATACCTATAAATATAATATAATGTGTAGTTTTAACAGTTATTTCATCAAACCGCATTTATATTGGAAAATAAATAATTGTTCAGGACTCGTCGCACGTTATCCGTGCAAATATTAATTTGTTTATATAATATCTCTAATAATATTTGTTGTTTCATTCTACAAATCCGTCGTTGAGCTGTTTATATGAAAGTATACAATCACATTATCATGATTATTAAGTATATATACACAGAAACGGAAGTATCAATAAAACACATACTAATACATGTACACAACACACGCCAAACACATTAAATGTCTAATAAATACAAAAATTCTGTTACTGTGGATTCAACTATATATACCTATACCTATGTATGTAGGTATATATGATAACATAAAATATTAGTTTTATACAAATCAAATAACAATATATGAAATATTGTACGGAATTTGTGCGTTTAGGTATAAGAACTAATTGCTTGAAAAAATATTTGAGTTGTGCTAATATAATAATAACTGTATACTAATAAACCTATACCTAATAATAGATGTGCGTTCAAGTTGAATTTATAATTTATTTGGCATATACATTAATATAATTATTATTCATTTTTTTTTTTTGTGTGTCATTAATTCGTTATACCTATTATTGATTGTTGACAGGTGGCCTCTACGCGAGCAACGAAAAATCTACAAGACATAAGATAACATTATAATATTACCTATACGCCAATATTAATTATTATATATAGGTATACCTAATACAATTAGGTATACTGATGAAATAAATGGAAATAAAAAAAACAATTAATTTATACATATTATTCTAGCTGTTATAATCTCTGTTGGCTGACCAGCTATTTGTGATGGAAATAGTGCATTGATCGGTCTGAACGGTCATTACATTTATAAAATGTAACACTTTATACACATCAATATGAAGGTATATAGGTACAATACACCTACCTATATACATTATGCATAACCGCGGTACAATATATGATGATGAAACGAATAAAATATTTAGGGGTTAATTTCGGTAACCCCATTCACCAGTACACCAGTCGCATATTATAATATTATGTATGTAGTGAATGGGGTAAAAGTCGGTAGGTACACTTACTATATAGGGGCTTTACATTAGACATGGCAAAGGGGACCGTTTAACCAGAACGCATTGTTGCAAAAGTCCAATGTAAATAAATAATCGAGGACAACAACAAAAAAAAAAAATCATTTTACAGCGTGTTTCCAGTATTAATAATATATAATACATTTATATCCCCTCGGATTCACTAGCTATATTGAGCCATATATAATATGTGATGTAGTTTAGAGCCACCAGCGTATACATGACAATAATATTCCCAACAAACAGCTAAACACTATAATATAATATCCACTGTCCCTCCTTAGACCTATATATGCCTATATATTAAATTGTTTAATCCTAGACAAGATGCACACATTCAGATATCACATGTGGGACACCCTTTAAATATATAATAGCCAACATGTAATGGCAACCGTTGTCAAACATATTGTAATATCTGCACCAGCCACCACAATCGTTTGAACGTGGGTAAGTATTAAGACTTGAAAACTTACAATGAAACACCACATTACTAATTAGGTATACTAGCTTATACCTATACTTGACGACAAATCGACAAAATATAAGTGGGTACATCTAAAAAAAAACAGTCCATCGACACAGATTACTTGGACCGATTTTTTATGGTTTTGAGGCCTATTAAGGTCTTATTGTTGAAAAAAAAACGAACAAAAATATTTATGTAAACAAAGTCTAGCTACGCAGTATATACGGTTTACTACGTTGTAAAGTAATAGCGCCTATGGGACCTTTGGATTTTGATGTTTGTGTAATAATAAATAATTGATGATATCATCATAATCTTGTCTCTTTACTTGCATATTATAATATCTTATCTTATCGTTTGGGACAAAGTGCACTACCGTGTAATGTATAATATTGTTATGAAAAGGTGCAGAGAAAACGCACATCGGTTTTGTTTGATAATAATTATTAGGTATACTAATGCGTCATCATGTCCCGGAATGTATATACAGTGCATGTGTATACTGTAAACACTGTATTGGAAGTAAAGTAAACAAAATTATAATAAATAAACACACATTATTAAGATGTACCCGGTGACCGGCATTAGGTACAGTGTCGGTCCATGGCTTGAGTTTGAAATAATTTAGACGTATTGCATAAATGTTGTTATCATATTTTATTCATAAAATAAAATCTCCAAAACCGACGGTCGTTTTAAAATCGTCTAAAAATAGTCGAATTTGTTTTGGGTTTTTTTTTTTTTTTTATTACAGCCTTAAACTTTTTTCTGGATTTTCTTTACCGGCTGCCGGTTTTTAGGACTTTCAAAAAATTACATAACTCTAAAAATGGCAGATCTAGTGTGTGACCGTTAAATATGATTATAATATAATAAAAAAAAAAAAAAAGTGCCTTAAAGCTTAAAATGTGTCCAACACGATTATAATATAATAGTTATAACCCCACAATAACACTTGTGTAGTAAATGTTATATTTTTCACTTACCTCGAACAATGCATTTTGTTTTAATTTGGTTAAAAAAAATACAACGGTTTTTTTATTGTTTATAGTTTGTTTTTCAGTAATAAAAAAACGCACAATGAATAATAATATAAACCACAAATAAAAAAAAACCAGTGCACTCTTAAAAAAAAAAAATCGAAAAGTTTAAACAAATTTTAATAACTTCAGGTGACCAAACAATTCCTG